ATCAAGAGATTCAAACTCCTGTCTGCCAAGCAAAAAGGCACAGTGACCTATACCTCTCTTCTCTTAATTTGCTCTCTTTTTGGTTTTAATTCTCTTTGGTTTTAACCAAATTTGGCTCTACTTTTTGTATGCTAATAAATGGAAATGAGTATCTCTTTATTATTAGAATTTCTTTGGTTATGCTGTCTCTTCTGTATTATCTCTTGTAGGGATTTGTGACTCCATCTTTGATTTAGCTGGTGAGCTACTTAGGGCAGCTTTAACAAAATGAACGATCTGTTGGCCTTAGATGTAGGGAACGTAATTTGTTAGAACGCTTCTCCTGTGTTTTGAACGTATATTGTTAGCAGTCACCAGCCATACGATGACTTATTCCAGCTAAAACCGTGAGGTTTCAAAACTTAGCCCGCAATCTAGGAGAAAGATAACGGGGTAGGTGGGTACAACCCTCTTTAGAAAATGAAATTTTTTACACCTGACTGAAAGTACACAGATTCTTTTATAATGCGAACTGTAGTATTTCTTTGAATTAAGAAAACATTTGTCTTTAAGGGTTTTGGAAAAGGGGAAAATCTCACCAAGTAGAAGCCTAAAGGGAAGACTCTCCATTCTGACAATCTAAGGTGGGATTAGCTTTAAACCATTTAACTGTTTATCAACCCCATCTTTAAAGCTTTCTATCAGCTATCTACACGTTAAAGCCATCTATACATTCCACAATCACATGTAACCAACAGTTCATTCCAAAGCACTGCTCTCCTCAGGAAGTTTTCTTCCTCTTTACCCTCCTGCAGTTGATACCCAGTGCTAGCTGTCCATTTTGCTATGGGTGTAAAACCAGTTGCTTTCTGGGAGCTCTTGATGGAGTTGAACCCTGTTCACAGTCTTCCTTTCTGCAAATTAAACCACCACAGCTCTTTTCAAGTGTGGTTTTGGTCTGTGAGGCGTTTGCCTGAGCATTCTGCCAAGGTGTGGTACCCAAAACTAGCCCCTCTGAGCTAGCAGGGTTATCAAGTACGCAGCTGAGCGTATTGTTCACCTTTCTTGCGATTCATGTTCAGCTCGTGATGCTCTGTGTAACAAAGTGACAAATGCAGAATGCTTACAGTAATTTGGGTCATTTGTTTAATACAAATACATTTTTTTCACAACAATAAGCAGATACATTACTTTTGTTTCCCTTACCTTCTGTCTTTCAGTACACATTCACCCACAAAAACATACAATTTTTCTTTTGCAAAAGAGAGGGAGTTAAACAAGTAACACAAACTTGTAGTTCCAAATATTATACACAGTAAAATATTTTCATCATAGAGTAAGTTTCATTGCATTATTAGAAATTATAAACGGTTTGTTCTGGTGATGGGGAATTACTGTTCTTTTCTACACAACAAAAATAAACACTGCCTTCAGATAGAGCGGTGTGTGAATGGCACAGTTGGACTAGTTGAGAATCTTCGTAATGCTAATGACAGCCAAAAGTGGCATGTTTATGCCAGCTTGAAATAAACTTTCTAATGCTTGTAACTGAAAACAGGAAAAGAAACACGCATGTTCACAGGTGAGGAGTATCTTGTTTAAAATTCCGCATCTGTTCTGACACCAGATTACTTCTACCTACCTTCATGAAAACTTTGCTTCAACAAGAACGCAGATTAAGCTCTTCTTGGTAGTGGCAGCTCAGAGCAAGGTTCTGCCCTCGTGGGTTTAGCCAGGCTAAATTCCACCGTCAGCGTATTTGCCCGAGATGCATTGTGCCTACACAGGCAGTTTGATACGGATCTTTACTTGATGTATCATTTTCATTAAAAAGTCTTAGAACGTACCTTAAAACTTTCAGTGTACTGGTTTTGCAGTGGTTATTAAATTGATAGAGAAAATTGTGCTTTGTGTGGGAATGAAAAAACACTGGTTGATAAGCAGCTGTCTAGTGTCCTTATTCACGCAGACCTGTATCCAGGGCATGTTGGTGCGAGTACCTCCTTGCCCTCTCAAAGAGGTTGCACCCTACTTCAGAAACAAACTCCAATCCTGCATGAAATCCCTGAAAGCTCTAGAACATCCAGTGCACCTAAGAAGAGGAAGGGATGCACGGGCTAATACTGCAATGCTTTAAAAAGTTAAAAACTGCTTCAAGCCTGCTGTAATCTCTCTTGCTGCTGACTTGTCTCCTTGTCTGTCCCGTCAGGCAGCATCCCATTTTGCTCCTTTTCCTGCCATCCAAATTAATATTCCAAAGGGAGAGGAGGAATTTCAACTGAAGTCTTTCACCATTCTTATATTTAACTAACTGTAAGCCCAGTTGCACATGTAGTTGAGTGCCAAAATAGTGTTTTGAAGTTGAAGTCGTTAGTTTAAAATTTTGCAAGTTACCTGTTCTGCTGCCGACTCTTCGGTGTATTTTTAAAACTGTACAGTAATCTTGTTGGATGCTACAAATCTGCTTTCAGAAGCCTCAGGTATTTTTTTCTTTGGGTTGAATTTTATACTCATTCAAGAAAAAATAATAATGTGAATTAGTCTCCAGTAAAGTGTCAAAAGAGGGGATAAATTACTTTCAGTGGGGTCATGATGCTACAGCGCGTCAAAGAACAAGCTGGCTAAAGAAGCAGAGTTACTGTCACTTAGTAGGAAACTTTCTGATTATTTCAGAAAGCTCTTAATTATCTTCCATAATAATGTTCCTTGTCAGTCAATTTTGCTATGATGCGTCAGGTTTTATTGTAAACATCATTCCAAACATTTAGATGCAGCTAGTAATTTTAAGTGCCTAACTTCAGATATCATGAGATTTACTTTTTAGCAAGTAGATTTGACACTTTTTGAAAGCCATGCCTTTGCAGACTGTCTTAAACATGTGTGCTTACGAGGCACTCCTCAGTACCGTCATCGTTTTCTGAAGACCTTCTGAAGTCTCCTCCACAATTATAAACAGAGAAATGATTTGGTTACTCTTGTATGTCATTTCAAATGAGAAGCTGCTACAATTCCAATTCGCAATTGTATAATTGGAAAGTTATTTTATATGAAAAGTGCGTGTCATTATGTGAAAAAAACTTAATCCAACTCACCTGGAGTAACTTACAGCAAATATTAATATGTATTTAGGACCTGTTCAAGCACCGAGATTTTGTGTCCTGTCTAGTCAGACGACAATCACTTAGTCACAGCCAAATTACGTGAGCAATTCCAATACGAAAGAACACAATGGCCTGATAAAAAAACCACGTTTCTTGCTCATACTGCTACTTCCAGTATTCCCTGAGCCTTAAGCCAGTAAACCCATTCGCAAAGGAATGCCTAATATATAAACTCCAATTGGGCTTAGGCCCAGCACCCTGGATATTTCCAAGAACGGGATGATTCTGTTATTTAATTGCAGGTATTTGAGTGTGGAAAGAGGAAATTTACCCTTAGAAACTGCAAGGCTTCTGTAGAAGTCTAGTTCACTTGTAACTGTGGAAGATTTCCCCCTTTGAATGAACCTGCGCTCTCCTATCCTCTTTACTCTGGTTCTTTTTTTGCTTGTTTGCCCTTCCTCCTTGACCTAAAGGCAAGATCAAAAAAGAACTTTCAACTTTTTTTAAAAAAAAATACGTTACATTCAGGCCCCAGACTTGTCCATGCCAGTACGGAACTACTCCAAGTCAATACTTGCTGTTGTGTCCTGATGGTAAACATCACAGGTATGAGAAGTGAATCACAAAATTGGTTCGTTATATATAATTCACTCTGTTGGACACAGTATTATATCTACATTCATTTATCTATTGCACCCTTTTTAATGCTATTCACACTTCATTTTTATATGAGAATGCTCAAAACACGAAGTTAACAACTGAACTGTTGAATCTCTAACACCTCAAGTTTACCTGTACAGAGGGAAACCATTGATTTATTTTTTCAGTCAGGAAGATAAAAACTAACTTTTCAGAACAAGGAGATAAAAACTAATGTTCTCTTAAGATACGTAGGTATTAATCTCTTACATCTACCTTTCTGTATCATGAATCTTAAAGAATAAAACCAACACTGGCTTCCATCTTCCCTGTGTGTCATCCTTTTTTCAGACCTTTGATGATATGCAATTTACTTTTGTGTAATGCTGCAGTAAACAGCATTTTTTTCATTTATACTTCTGCCTCAAAACTTTATGTATCCAATTTATGTCTAATTCACTCTTACAATGTAAAATCAACAGCTGAGCTGCTCTTCTAAATATGTATCTACACATTCTCTCCTTCCTGTACTTATTTTGCTGACAGCTATACTTAAAAAAAAAGTATCTGTAGCTTAAGGAGACATGGAACTGCTTACTTTTCAAAAATTCAGGCATATTTTAAAAAAATGCTACCCTTCAAATGTGTCAAATATCCTTAGTTGACACAGCTGGCCAAACATTCAGGCTCCGCTGCAGTCACGTGAAGGTGCGTTACCGTATGAGGCGTAGAGAGTGAGTGCTGTGACACAGCTCTTTACACTTAATTGATTCTGTTAATGCGTATAACTTGATTGGTACCCTTGTGAAGTGTATCTTTAAGAAGATAAATAGCAAATACAACTTTTAGTAGTAAACAGATGAAAGGTTTTTGTTTTCTGTAAACAAAATGATTCTAGCAGGTCTGTTTCTACTTTCCCAGCCATCCGATTTAAAAAAAAAATATAAAGGAGGAAAAAAAAAAAAGTACTCCTGTCACATTGGTTTGGCATTGTCTGTTAAACCTGTTCTCTATTGCACTTTCTACACTTCCACGTTCACTACACTTGCTGACTAGTTGAGAAACTACTTCACGAATGGTCACGTTCCATACAGTTCACGAGTTGCTTTGCTGGATCCATTTTCCTTGTAGGGTTTTGATTTTTTTTTTTTGAGGGGTGGGGTGGTGGTTGTTCATTTTTTTAAACTGAAAAAATGCACAGTCATTTCTACTCTCTTTTTGCATTTGTAGTGTAGAAAACACTACGCCTTACTCTGCAAAGAAGAAACAATGCTGTCTCTGTCAAACTGGCATGACCTCAGATGTTTCTTCAGCTGCCGGCTGAGAGTTTGTACCTGTCTGTGCTACTGGCACCACCACCGCGTCCTTGACGTCCGAGGTCTGAGTGCAGGAAGAGTTCTTCTCCTCCAGTTTTTTAGCGGTGTCTGGGCAGTTCTGAACAAAGATCACTCTGTTGTAGGCTTTCAACCTGCGCCACAGCTGAACGTAAACCTTACACTGCACATACATGAAGACCAGGCCTCCCGTGAATCCGATGGCCACCACGACGAGTTTTGTCCAAAACGGCCATTCGAGGACACCTTTGAAATAAAACGTTTCTATTTATTACCGGTGTTATACATTGAATATCAAGTACTGAGTTTCAGGAAAATATTTGGGAAAGAAGCCCCTTGCTAAGAATTCCCAGGAACGTACACGCTATTGGGGCAGTTGTGGCTCAAGGGGAAATCAGCAGGAGTTTCCTATCCCATAGGCCAGCCAAGAAGCGACATCTGCCTCCCACTTTTAACTGACTTCACCACAATTTGGTCAAATAAGAAATGGCAGGGCCGCTCTCCCAAAGGAAGCGTAATGCTTGATACAGTCGAAACCAAAACGTTTTACTGTTCCTCAATAATATCCCCATACTCAATAGCTTGCTTAAGCCAAAGTGCGAGTACCAAAACCGAGACAAGTGGCTACCTAGAAATATTATGCACATCTTCAACAATAATTTCTTTTTTTTTTGTTAATCATGCTAGAAGCATGACGCAGTTTAGGGTATCCAGAACACCAACATTCGTAATATTTAGTACCTGGTCCCAGCTTTATCCTGAAGCCAGGGTATAGTAAAAAAAAAACACAAACAAGTGGAAAGGGCTCTTATCTCCCGCATCACTCGCCTTCGTTGGCCTCTTTTTCCTGCTGTCTGTGCAACTCCCCCCTCTCCCGACCACACCTACATCAAAAAGCAGAACTTCTATTCCTATGTACTAAAAAAATAACTTTACAGTTTTTGGTGTATCTGTTCTTACCTTTCTCATTGTACTGATCAGTTGCATTTGGTATTTACAGAAAAATATATAGCTGCTAACACAGAAAACCTAGAGGTGAGCGCATTTGAACTTGATTAGGATATAAATAATATTAAAAATGATTTGCTTTGGACTAAATGTGGTCTTAAGATTTTAAGGTAGTAAAGTTGTATTAAGAACAGCCTTCTCCTCGTTCAGTCATACCGCTACACCTGCTTTTTTTTTTCCAACCATTCAGTAACCTAACATAAAGGAAGGGCTACCAGCCTTCCCGTTACACATTGCCCCGTCACATTTAAGGATCAAATGCTGTACGCAAGAGGCAGAGCTCTGGATCGATGCCCAGCTGGCAGCTGAACAATCTGAATAGGTTCGGAAGGTCTCTCTTTGGCCAACGTTTTGCTCACTGAGTGTAGTACTCAAGGTGCTTTGCGCCTGATGCCGTATTCAACCATGGGTGATGATAGCGCACAACAACTTGGTGGTATTTGTGAGTTTTACTCAAGTTTTTACACAGGGAAGAAATTTCTGCCACAGGCAGGAAAGCAATCTGTGTTCCTTTGGGGCTGGGCAAAAAAAAGAGCTTCAGTGAGGAGCTGGTCTCTGCTCCCAGCCCTGGTAACCTGGACCCCTGAAGAGCAAGTCTTTACTTTCAGCCTGCTGTGTGAGTCTCATCAATCTTCTCCCCTTTACTGTTAAACACATAGGAATTGGGCTTTTCATTAAGTAAACAAAGAGAGAGAGCAAAAGAGTATGAATTATTGCAAAAGCACACAAAATGTTTGAAGTCACTGTAGTTTTCCCTGCAACTGTTTGTTTTGTTTGGCTCCAAGGCATCTCTTTGTCCATTTTTTTCCGTAGGGAGAATCATCCATTACATTAGGCAAACACTGAATTCTATACAAATCGTAAATGCTTTTTTGAGCCTACCAGGATTAATTACTGTGATTCTTAGGCATTCTATACAACAACAAAAATCCATGTTAGCCGTTTTGTTGTGTAAATTCTAATCCACAGAACTACCTTTCCCCTTTTCAGTGAGCCGGGTGACATAGCTGTACTCAGAAGTTCAAAGCCATTCCTAGTCCTGTCCTCAGGGCCAGTTTTTTTGAGATGAAAAACAGGGTTACCCGTTTAGAAAGAACGCAAACCAAGGCTTTGTAGTGTACATTTGTCTGTTACTTACTGAGCCTTCTTATGTATTTTCCTCTCATAGGCAGGCTATCAGGTGTATCATCAAATATTTATCTAACTAGCAAGGCACAAAGCTCCACCTGTTTTGTTTTCCATGTTAACTTCAGAGTATAGCACAAAGCGACAGACCTTTGTCCCTCGACTGCGCTTCAAGTCAATTCAAGATCAAAACTCAAAAGCGTTTTAGCCTCTTCACCATCATGATCATAGTTAGGACTAAATTTAAGACCGAATAGACTTAGATTTGAAATGGCAAACAGTATTTCAGTTTGGAATATAGTTTCCACACAGGGTAGGTATAGTCCAAAAAGAAACCTGCCTGTGTTAAACAAGCATTTGGTTAGGCGTGTCCCGTTGGGTTTTTCAGTAGCTCCACAGACGGAGGCTCCACGACCTCTCTGTTCCCATGTTTGACCACCCTCACAGTAAAGACAACTGAAACATGGACATTCACAGTGAAACACTATTCGAAAGGACGCAGGAATGGCTTTCCGTGGTACGTACGTCCCACACAAAGGACTAACACAACTGGAACACGGTCTCTTGGAAGTTTGTATTAGGAAGGGCTCTGTCATGTTTTACAGGATATTGAGGTTCAAGTGGGTAATGTAAAGAAATTGCTACTTTATGAGCTGAACTTGCACTCAGCTCTTTGAATTTGACTCATCTTTTTTCTCTGAGCTTTACAAATATCTAAATACTGGGAGATGAACTAGGAAGAACCAGCAGGCTAGTTAAGCTGGTGTAACGATTACATGTCTCTCTGCAGGGGCATAATACAAGACTTTAACACTGATGCATTCATTACTTCTGCATTAAAGCATTGGATGTAGCCATGTGTGAGCTGTTAAATAACAGAACAGAACGTGACTGGTTACGTAGCTGCCTTGCGAAGCCATCCATCGCATTATTAACAAGACTGAAGAAGTTAAAAGATAACTTACCGTTATCATTGCCTTGTTTAATTTCCTCAGCGGTTCTGTCAATTAAAACATACAAGGACCAAACAACACAGGTAATTGCAATTACGTGGAATGTGACTGAACAAACTATTTTCCTCCTCTCGCTTGTTGTCATCTGTAGTTTCTCCCACTGTAATTTAAAAAAAAAAAAAAAAATAATTAGACTTGCAAAATTTTATAATAAACTAATTAGGCCATTCTGGCTTTTTTCTACCAAGAAGCCCAAGCAGTAATAAAATTAACAAATCCTTTTATTTGGATAATACACAGTACAGTAGCATGTGCATTGTCAGTGTAAAACTCGTAAATCACTGTAAATCACACTGTAAATCTCATTTTCACAGATTCAGAGGAATGAAGAGTTCTGTCCTGTTTCTGTCTGCTTGCGAATGACACCTAAAATAATTCCATGGCAGTACAGCCATAACACCTTAATAGACAAGTAAAAACCTGAATATTTATTTTAACTTTACCTGATGCACACTTCCAGTGATGAGAGAAGAAAAACACTCCAAACATTAGCTTTTAATACTTAAACTGTTCTCAGTTGCTTAAAATTAGAGGAACAGTTGTGGAACAGTCTTCCCATAAAATAAAAGCGTAAGAAATGCAACTGCATTGAGGATTAAATGCCATAAACTTGAAAAGATGGTTATGTGGAAATGACCGTACATGATAGCAGCCAAACAGCCTCAGGAACGCAAGAAGGATCTTCCAGGCACATGTTTGTGAATTATGGCACTAAATCCATCATATGATTGTGAATTACGGCACTAAATCCTAGCTTAAGTTAAGGCTATTTCAAGATGAAATAGGCTATTCTCTGCATTTGAACAATGCATCTCTTGAGGCGATTTTTTTTTTTTTAATATCTCACTTGTGAAGACATTTTTTTCATCACTTCTTTAAAATAAAACCCTTCTCTACTAAAATGCTTGCCTTTTGAAAACAGATGAAAGAATATGACATTTAAAAGCAAAATGCCTGAATTCCGAGGAATAATCTCCGAGTCGGTCGCTAGCCTCTGATGAACGAACCAAGTACAAACCACAATACGCCAGTGCCACCTCTCTGCAGTTCTGCTAATGCAAGACTGAACTCTGCTTCAGCAGCCGAGCCACAGCCCTGACCTCCGCACAGTTTCCAGGTCCTAAGGCTGGGGAAAAAAAACAAAAACAAACCACCCTGGCCACTTGTGAGCACTGAGGTGCTATAAATTTACTTTGAAGGTATGAGTTTGGCTTTGATTTCCTCATTTGGGTTTGTGTGGGTTTTTTTAATTTTTGTTTTGGGTTGGTTTTGGGAAAGAATGAATTTCCCTAAATTGCTTATGGCTAGTGTTGGAGATGGCATCTAAGGTAGATGCTTAGACTTAAACCTGAACCAGTACGGCCATTCTTCTGGTCTGAACGCAATTTGCTGCCTTGGGCACGTTTCGAAGGAGGACAACGGCAGTAAAAGCTTGGGAATGTCAACGCAATGCCACCGACAGAGCTAACTCTCAGAAATGCTTCTTCCTGCCACTAATTTTAGAGCAGCACATACCGGGTCAAACACATTTTAGTCTTTAATGGCAGTTAAAGCTTGCACGTTTCAGAGCTGTTGTTGCCTCAAAACAATCTCTGGAGCATTTTCTAGCCCTTGCCAGAATTTTATGAACACAAGGCTTGAAGAACTGAAATAGTTCCTGAGTAATATACAAAAAGACAGTGCTAGAAGTTTATTTTCCAGCTGATACCTCATTTCAGTTTCTGCAACATCTACTTAGGAGGGAAAACGAAGCTTGCTGGGTTTTGTATGGCAGTCTGGAAAAATGAGAGGCATTAAAAAAAAAAGTAATGAACGAAAAGACCAGAACCTTATGCTCATTGTAGTTCAGGTAGGTAGTATTCAGCGGTCAGCCCAGACAGACTGTGGCATTGTCATCGCAGTCTTACCATATCATTACAGTCACCAGGTTACAGAGCATTTGACCTGGAGACTTTCATCCTTTTTTGCAGTGAAAAATTCAATTCAAGCCCTGTGACAGGCTTTCTTTCCAAAGAAAAAGTTGTCTTTGTCCAGATAGAAGAAAGAATTTTACCTTAACCCTTCACTTACCTGCGGATGCTTTGTGAGAGATCGACGTTGAACATAAAGAGGAACGAGTTGTGTTCTTAAATAGACATTTTCTGCCATCTCAACTCCGATGCTACACTTTTTGGTCTACTGCAGAGAAGATTCTGTGCTAAATTTTCATTGTCATATGAAGTCTCATTATAGCCATTCTAAGTCTCGTTATATAGCCATTATATATAGCAGTCTCATTATAGCCATTTTACCCTCCGTAACAAAAGTGTTGACCTGAATGCCCAGTCAAATAAAGCTTCTTGATACAGCGTTTTAAAGTCAAAGAATGCTGGTCCTGTTACCCTAAACGTAAACACTTTGTAGGCGAGGGAAAAAAAAAAAGAAGCCAAACCCAAATGACAAACAGGCAGGATAGGTAAATAAAGGAACGAGCTCCCAAACTTCTGCTGAGATGATTGACAAGAAAGGTGTATCAGGAGAGGGAGCTAGCAGAAATGGGCTAAGCCAGGCCTTTTTGTGCTAACATCCCATGAGCAAAGCCAGGCAGAAGACAAGGCCAGGCCTACCGGGCTCGGCTTCCTCTCTCTGGCCCCTTTTCTTCTGCCAGGGCATGGCGGGGTCTGGAACTGGAAGACACTGCGGAGCATCTCGTACTCCCACTTGGGATACAAGAAAGGAGCAAGGAGAGACTCCTGCTCACATGGACAGCGGCAGGATCAGAGTACTTGGGAGCGTTTTCCAGCTCTTCGTGTCTCCCAAAGCTCTGCTTCTGTTTTGCCCTGCCCTAGCTGCGGTCCCAGTTCTCCCCTCTACTCCAGGCATGACGGGCTGAGCTCGGAAGGGGAAATTCAATCAAATTTTGGGCTCTACTCCTGGTGACCCCTGTGGTAGCTGAGGTAAGTCTCCTCTCCTCCTCACCGATTTTAGCTTGGCTGAACAGAGAGCACGATGTGACTGCTGCCACTCTCGACTAGACGAGTGATGTTAGGAGATAAGTCAGCAATTTAAGTTGCTCTGGAGGCAGAAAAGTGCAATTCACTATTTTTTTTGCAATAGGATTAAATCGAAAATTTAACTGTTAACGTTAGCACAGACTTGCTTGGATAAAAGCACAGTTACATGAAATAAAAATTGCTTGAAAATCCATAGCAAAGGCTCTGAGACAACACTATATTGAGCAGTGAAAGCATCAGCCTCTTTTACTTGGGCCTTATAGTCCAGGACTCCATATAGGCTAAAGTCGGGTGGGCAGGTTTGGCCGGTGCTACCATGTCACACAGTGCGTTAACGCCTCCTTAACCACAGATAAATTCACCCCAGCTGTATTTTGAAGCTTCGGTAGTTCTCATGGCTCTCTACATTCATGATGGCAAGATAAAAATAAATTGCATCACGTTTTCATTATCTTCATCAGTGATCTAGAAAAATGTACAACCACCAGGTTGATGACGCTGTGACATGCGATGGCTAGAATATCAGATGCCACTAAGAACAGAAAAATAACACAAAAGTAAGTGCCCAGGTGCAATTTTCCTTGGCAACTTACATGTTAATACTCCTAAGGTGCTCTAGAGACAGGAAGGAAAGAAATGGCAGACTGTAACAGCCAGAGGAGACATTTATAACAATCTGCAAATTATTGAGTCACTAAATTGATAGACCAACACTGTAGTGTTTGCCCAGCCTCCTCCGAAGGACCCCTTCACTGTTGTACACCTGATTGTCACCACCCACAGATTCCTTAGTCCTGGCAGCAATACAAACACAGCCTGGAAATCATCACCGATGCAGATGGTTCAGCATCCTGCAAATGCACGCACCAGCATGAACACCTTTATGTCCCACAGAACAGCTATGCTAAAGCACTTTGGTAACATCGAACAACCGCGAGACCTTGTACACAAGTCACCAAACAAATCCACCATGCAACAGTATGTATCCCGAGAAGAAAGCTTGAAATATCCCCAGCTCCCTTTTTATTTTCTGAAGTTTTCTTTTCTGAGGTTTTCTGCCTACCACACTTGTACTGTGCTCTGCAAACCACTGGAGGGTGGTAGAAGATTGTCTCCTTGCTCCAGAGAGAGAAGGCGAAAGGACCTGCCAAAGAAACTGGATTGTAAATGTGACCAGAAACCCTCCTCCGCCCCAACTACTGCTTACAGCTACTTCTTAAACATGCCTTGCACCTCACCCTGAATTCCTCTGCTTCACTGCCAGAGAAGTTTGCAATAATCTTGAAAGCGGCAGCTGTGAAACCGTACCCTGTTCTAGGTTTCTGCCTCCTGGTTTGGTTTTGTTTCATCAAGACTATCTCGCTCCGAAACTTAAAGGGAACGGTTACTGATTTCATAACCCACTCTTGCAATTACAAAATGTAGTCATGAGTCTTCTGGGGAAAACAAAGCAAAAAAAAATTTAAAAAAAGGAAAAAAAATGAATCGCCTACTCACAGGGAACATCTAAATCGTGTGTTGCCAACCACTTCCCTTTCCTGTAACACAGTCTGAGAAAATCCCTGATATTTCTTTTAAAGGACGAAACTTTGCCCCCCCTGCATGTCACTTCTAATAAAAGCTTGGTTAATCAATATGCAACAAATAAAGATGGATATTTTTCAATATCCTCTGAAAACAGATTGTCTGCGGATGTGGGGATGCTCCTTCATATCCTAAGGATCCCAACACAGCCTCTCTTCTTACAGACAGAAGTAAATCTGCAATTTTAATTCCCTCCCATACGTTTCTGCAAAGGCCCAAGGCAGAACCAGAAGCTTGACGCTGCTCCCACAAAAGCTGTCACCACACCACGCAATCGCCCGCTGCGGATTTTGCCGCTTGTGTTCCCTTCCCCCACCATCTGCTTGTACCTTTACTGCCCGCCTCTCCCCGGCCGCCATTTTGGGGCCGCCGGTTGCCTCCTGCCAGTGGCAATCTTCCGTCACATCGGCCACAAAGTTTTGTCTACGTAGATTTCCTGAAGCAATTCCAAATCGGCTGCAGGTTTGCAGAGTCACACCTTTACAACCGGAGGCCCCTTTCCTGCAGGGGCTCCTCAGTGAGG